TGTGTCTTCAGCTCTACAATACTCAAACTCTGTCCTGAGAGGGCTGGACCTGAGTAACAATCACCTGCAGGATTCTGGAGTGAAGCTTCTTTCTGATGAACTGAAGAGTCCAAACTGTCAGCTGGAGATTCTGAGGTAAATGGTTTTCAATCAAATAAATTAACAAAATATATAGTGTTTATCAATTTGTAAAGCTCGTGATGTAACTGTATATATTACTGTTTGTTTTGTTCTTTACACAGGCTATGTGGATGTAATCTCACTGCTCAGTCTAGTGGGAGTTTGTCATCAGTTTTACAATCATCAAACTCTGTCCTGAGAGAGCTGGACCTGAGTTACAATTACCTGCAGGATTCAGGAGTGAAGCTTCTTTCTGATGGACTGAAGAGTCAAAACGGTCAGCTGGAGATTCTGAGGTAAATGGTTATCAATCAAATAAATTATCACAATATTCAGTGCATTTATCAAATTGTAAAGCTTGTGATGTAATTTGATATAAATACAAAGCGCAGCAGTATGTTAATTTACATGCAAGCAGCTCTTGATCCAGTGTTTTCAGTGTCTTTTCAGCTTGGTTCACAGTAAATGCTGCTCCACACAAACTCCATCTCATGCAAGCGCTGAGAGTTTGGGTCACTTATTACATGGACTAAAAAAATGCAACATGCATCAAACATTTGCCCCTTTTTTTGGACTGGTCATTTTAATTTTGTACTTTATAAGCGCGGTTAGACAGCTGAGGCAGACCAGCATAAAAAATAAAAATACTTTTTGAATGTTTTGTCATCCAAACAAAAAGCCAATAGGCGTGTAATGGAGTGCAGCAGAGCAGCATGAAGAATATGAATTAGTGGGGGTAGAATTTGTTGTATAATTGATGGGTACGTGTCCTGCTCAGTGTGTTGTGGTATAAAATAAAGGAGTACATCTCTTCTGAAACTTAAATTCAGCCATTGCTCTTTACTTAGAAGACATGTTAAGAGTCACAAACTGCACAGAGACATGAAAGCTGAGGATCCAAATGCAATATTTATTAAAGGGTAATCAAAATATGTAATCCAGAAACAAGCAAAAGGTCATACACAGACGATCAACCAAACAATAACAGGGCAATAAACACAGGCAGGGAGTCAAAAACCAAGAGACATGAAAGACGGAAACGTTTAGAATTGCAGAGTGACTTACAGCAAGACTTTCCTGACAGTGACTGAAAGATACATTGCTTTTAAGCCCGGGATACACTGCACGATTTTTGGCTGTCCCAGACGAAAGATTGCCATCGTGAAGCAATCGTGGCTATTTCTGTGATCGTGGCTCTTAATCGGTGGTCCTATGTCGTACAGTGAGAGAGGTTCAAAGACGGGCGTTTTCCCGGTCTTGCGACCAAAGATAGCCTACGATAGTTTTCTGACAGTGTCAGAAATTCAGCATGATCAACGCACAGTGTGTTTGCTGCAACGACCTGCGTCTACTCAGCAGCCAATGAAATTGCAACATGAAATGACATATTGATCCACGCGACCATCGGCGCTAAAATTTCAATGCCATGGAGGCAAAAATAGTAGAAGGTATGTGGGATACCCATAAAGAACAAATTCTTGAGTTGTGGCAGCAGAGGGCATGTTTGTACAATGTGTCCTCTAGCTGCTATCATGAACACACCAAAAAGGACATAGCATGGAAGGAGACAGCAGAGGAACTGCAGCTGCCAAGCTCCCTGTGCAAAACTGGCATCCCAAGTTGTCCTCTTTTCCCGAGCCATGAGCGGGTCCATATTGCCCTCTTCCGCCGGCGCCTCTTCTTTGTTTCAGCACACATGAAAAGCACAACTGCCAAAGCGCAATCCATCTTGATGTACCGGTATCTGTTTACCACTAGCGCATGCTAATGACGTTGCGCTAACGTGTGTTGCAGCCTACGATTCAATAGGTGTTATCATCGTACGGTCTACATGCTTGTCGTACCCAAGTTTAAACGATCCATGACACACAGTGTGATAAAGTAATGATCTTATAGGATTGCTAAAATTGTGCAGTGTATCCCGGGCTTTAAAGGCAGAGGTAATGAGATAATGAGACACAACTGAATGCAATCAGTGATGATGAAACTAGACAGCGAGTCCTGGGAAATGTAGTTCGTGAGGCAGTAACACTATTCTGGGATGGAGTGCCCTCTGGTGACTATCAGACGACACGAATTTACTACGATTTTACAAACTCTGACGTAAGCATT